AAGCTGGTTGAGCGAATGCCAAGAATGTGCAAAGCTGTCATCAAGTAAAACGGTGGCTACTTTAAAGAATCTCAAATATAAAATATATTTTGATTTGTTTAACACTATTGGTTAATACATGATTCCATATGTGTTCTTTCATAGTTTTGATGGTGTCACTACTATTATACAATGTAGAAAATAGTAAAAATAAAGAAAAACCCTTGAATGAGTAGATGTGTCCAAACCTTAGACTGGTACTAATTGAGCTCAGGTGCATCCTGTTTCCATTGATCATCCTTGAGATGTTTCTACAACTTGATTGGAGTCCACCTGTGGTAAATTCAATTGATTGAACATGATTTGGCAAGGCACACATCTGTCTATATAAGGTCCCACAGTTGACAGTGCATGTCAGAGCAAAAACCAAGCCATGTTGTCGAAGGAATTGTCTGTTGAGCTCCGAGACAGGATTGTGAGGCACAGATTTGTGGAAGAGTAACAAAAAATGTCTGCAGCATTGAAGCTCCCCAAGAACACAGTGGCCTCAATCATTCTTAAATGGAAGAAGTTTGGCTCTTCCTAGAGCTGGCTGCCCTGCCAAACTGAGGAGTCGGGGGAGAAGGGCCTTGGCCAGGGAGGTGACCAAGAACCCGATGGTCACTGACAGAGCTCTAGAGTTCCTCTGTGGAGATAGGAGAACCTTCCAGAAGGACAACCATCTCTGCAGCACTCCACCAATCAGGCCTTTATGTTAGAGTGGCCAGACGGAAGCCACTCCTCAGTAAAAGGCACATGACAGACCGCTTGGAGTTAGCCAAAAACAGAAACCTGGCACCATCCCTACGGTGAAGCATGGTGGTGCCAGCATCATGCTGTGGGGATGTTTCTCAGCAGCAGGGACTGGGAGACTAGTCAGGATCGAGGCAAAGATGAACAGAGCAAAGTAGAGAGATACTTGATGAAAACCTGCTTCAGAGCGTTCAGGACCTCAGACTGGGGCAAAGGTTCACCTTCCAACAGGACAACGACCCTAAGCACACAGCAAACACAATGCAGGAGTGGCTTCGGGACAAGTCTCTGAATGTCCTTTATTGGCCCAGCCAGAGCCCCGACTAGAACCCGATCGAACATCTCTGGAGAGACCTGAAAATAGCTGTGCAGCAACGCTCCCCATCCAACCTGACAGAGCTTGAAAGGATCTGCAGAGAAGCATGGGAGAAACTCCCCAAATACAGGTGTGCCAAGCTTGTAGCGTCATACCTAAGAAGATTCGATGCTGTAATCGCTGCCAACGGTGCTTCAACAAAGTACTGAGTAAAGGGTCTGAATACTTATGCAAATGTATTATTTTTAATAAATTAGTCTAAAAACCTGTTTTTGCTTTGTCATTATGGGGTATTGTGTGTAGATTGATGAGAAAAACAAACAATTTAATCAATTTTAGAATAAGGCTGTAACGTAACAATGTGGAAAAAGTCAAGGGGTCTGAATACATTCCTTAGGCACTGTGTGTGTGTGTGTATATATATATATATATACACACATATATATATATACACACACATATATATATATACACATATACAGTGGCGGCTCCTGAAAAAATTCTCAGGGGGGGCAATTTTTCTGATGATTTAGGTGACCTACACACATTTAAAAAAGATATGTCCAGCAACAACATGAAGACAGGGGCAGCATATAAGTCAATACTGATATACACATTACTTGCTTCAAAAAGGCCTCATGGTTGAATTGGAAATATGTGCACCTGAGCAAGCAGGAGCTTTTGATAGAGGCTACTGAAAACATTGATGCAAGTTATTGGTAATAAGAAATTTTTATAGACTTCCATATTCTGCCCTCTTGTATAGATTTGTGAAAATGAACAGTGATAGACATTTTGCCTGAAAACAGAATTTGAAAATAATTTCTAGAAAAGGTAAACACAGCTATCTGTATGGCTTTGTAAATATGAACAACCATATTCTGGCCAATTGTATAGATTTGTAAAAAAAATTGTTTACTTTTTTAAAATGAAAAATAACTATTTTAAACAACATCAACTGTGAACTGATTTGGGCGTGTGTGTGTTAAAGAGACAGACAGGGAGGGACAAAGAGAGAGAGAGGCTACATTACTTGTACTGAAACTGTTCTCTTCTCTCTTTCAATGCAGCAAAGCGGTCAATGACTTTCTCATTGAAATCAGGCATGCTGAGGACTAGTTTACTAGTTACTTTTTAGCTTGCTGCATGATCAAATTCAGCTGATGCGCATAGCAATGCACGTAATGGCCTTTCTTGAAATGCTCACGCACCTTTTGCCTTCTCTCGCCTCATCACACTGGCTCCATCGTAAGCTTGCGCAATGAGTTTGACTTTCACGTCGTCGGCAAAAAGACCGTTCAGTCTCTCCAAAAGCACACTGGCGATTGAGACTGAGGTTGATTCCGAGATGGGAAGGAACTCAAAAAAGCGCTCCTGCACTTTGTGGTTGTCTCTTTGATGTGAACTTCTTTCAAAGAGACAATCGAGTTGCACTGAACGCTATAGCCATCTTGATAGTAGTACGTGAATTGATTGATGCTGCTACCCGCTCTTTTCTTAGTTACGTTCATGGTTACGTTACGTATGACGAAAGCGCGTAAGTGCAAGCCCTCAGAAACCCATAGAGATTGTATTGAAAGCTCTGAAATTTGAAAAAAATAGATTTTACATGAGAGGCTATGAGAGACTTCTGGGCGATTTTCAACCTGACTGAAATCGCCCCAAAACGGGCGGGGCCATTTGAAGCACGACTTTAGCCTGATTGGACATTTAGTGGCAGATCAGACGTCTAGATTAGAACACTGATAACTACTGTTGCCGTGATATAATTGATTAGAAAAAAAATCCCTTGCTTTTCCCGTTTGGCAGTGCGTCGCCCATATCGCCCTAATGAACACACCGCCCCTGCACATATATATATATATACACACACACACACACACACACACACATATACATATATATATATATACACACACACACACTGAATTTAATCCATGCTTGGAAGAATAACAAAATGTGCTAGCGCAATGTGCTTAAAAGTGCTAGTGGGTTTAGCACTTTGCACTAGCATCTTTGTTATTCTTTATGGCGGCACATTACACAATCCATTGAAGCCCGGGTGCAGACCCTCACACTGGCTTTCAACATGATATCAATCACAATTGTCAGGTCTTGTTAAGTGCACCCATACTGGGCAGAGGGCTCTTTTGAGGGCTATGAAACAGTAAGAGGTCCATTAGGAGCAATTACAGCTGCAGAAGGTGAGTCACCACTCAGCACAGTGATTATACAGACCCAATCATTTTGTCCCTTAAAAGTGGCACTCCAATCTCCTTTTCACCTCATTTAACACCTGATTTACTTAATAAAAGGAACATCTCAGTGGTCCAGGTTTGTCATGACATAGCAGGGGGACCTTTCCTCTTTTGTTCTCCATTGCTCCTCAAGCAAGAGGGAGGCCGACGACATTATGAATTCTAAAATCAGTCCTTGAATGCTCTATTCCTTGAAGTTTGCAGTTGTGTCTAAACATGTTTTTACTAAAAACATTATGTTACCCTTTAGGGTGTGTACTCCTCTATTTATACTTGGGGTATCGCTTTTCAACAGTAAAAGTTTTTTTTAAATCGCTGGAGGACGTAATTACGTCCACTCCAACCCCTTTACAGGGACACAACACAGGAGGGAAACGTAGAGGGAGAGGAAAGGGGGGAGATGGAAAGGGAGAGGGTGAGGTGGCGTTGTTGACCGACAGTGGAAAAGGATTAGAAAAGGAAATCCAGACAAGATGTTCATACATCTAAAGAAAAATCTATTTATTTGAATACAAACTTAGCTACATGGCATGAAAAAATATATCTACCAAAGTGCATTCAATTGAAATGTACTAACACGATTAAGTGGTTTAAAAAGAGCAATAAAAGGACACATTCTTCAAATGTCTAACCTTTACATAAAGTATTGATCTAGATACATTTGGCCATGAAAACAAAACAATGAGACATTTCAAAGCAGTTTAACAACTATTTTGATAGCAAAGCCACAAACTGTTCCATTCTTTTAAAAAGAGCAAATCTAGGGCAAAAACAAGGCTGTGCTATGACCACTAAACGTTAAAGGACTGGAGTGATTGTGTTGTGTAGGGCAGTCATTGAAATCGTTGGAAACCACTGTCTTATTATATTCCATGTCAAGGAGCTGATCAAAGTCAATGCACTTCCAGCAGATTGAAAAGAATAGAACTGAATACAAAAGGACAGCCTGGTTTTTGCTCTGAATTTGATCATGAACATTTCGGCAAACCTATAATTACTTCTTTAACAGTAAATACCCTTTTTCATGTGATTAGTTGTATTCATGGTTGCTTCTGCATATAGGTTCCCCCTGAGAACATTTAAAACAAATTTACACACAAGGCTCTCACAGACATTGCTATAGTTCTTCTCTACAAAATACTCATCAGATCGGGCCTTTTTGATCTCATATAAAAGTAAAAAAGCACAATAGCGGTTTGCAAGCCAGCTAGGACACAAACAGTTTCAAATTAATACTGACCAATCTTGAATCATTTGTAACAGTTTTGGGGGGGGGGGCTTTGTGCTTATAAAGGATTCCATAGCTCCAGGAGAGGAGAGAGGCTCCATATGGTCTTTCGTATTCCTTTTCTATTCCTCAACTAATAGAATGTAAACATGTATTCTGCCAAATGTAAAAAAAAAAAAAAAAAAAAAAAAAAAAAAGTTACAGACTAATCACTGGTTCATCACAAGCATTCACATTTTAACCAAACAAATCAACAGAACTTTCAGTACCGGTAACTCATGATTGTTTTTAGATTTGTAGTCTTGTTACTTCATACACTTTCAGATATGTTTAATAAAAAGAGAACATTACAAAAAAAAAATGTAGGCACAGAACAGTGAAACCATGATTATGACATAGTAGTAAAACTAGTGCAACATTAACTGGGAATTATGATGGAGGGAATGTAAAAGCATGGCAATTTACAAAAATGGTGCTGGTCCCTTATCTAGTGGGAGATCCCCATTCAAAACCACAGACAGAAGAACACAATGTTTGAAGAAAAAAAACGGCAGGACAACTTCCCTTCACTCACCAGTGCTAAAGAATGCTCCTTCACATGCACGCACACACAAACACACTTAAAGTTCAGAAAGTCCCTCTCCATGTTCATTCAACTCCATGGAGTAATAGTCCAGTGGTCGCCTAAGGACAAAAAGCACGCACACAGCTTTTGACAACTGCTACAATGGCACAATTATTAAGTGAAGGAATTCAATGATATTGTTTCGTCAGAAGGGTGATGTTGAGCCAAGAAAATGACAGCTAATCATGTTTCTATTCACATTGGAGTAAAAGGGCCATCTGTGTAACTATTATGTACAGCTGCATACAGTGAAATGATGCCTCTTCACTTAACCACTGAGGCAGGATGTGTGCGTACATGAGCATGCACATTCGAGACTGTATGCGTGTGGCCTGAATATGTGGTTGTGTATAGTCTCACCTCTTTTTGTAGAGGTAGGTAAAGATGGCTGCTCCCAGTCCCAGCAGCAGTAGAGCGCCGAGCACCAGGCCAATATGAAGGCCCAGGGCAGACTCTGAAAAGAACCACAACCATCAGTCAGCTAACCCTAAAAGGCCATTTAAATGGAGATTCTCTAAGCTTACAGAGAAGGCTTAGTCTGTGTCTAGGAAACCAGCCCATTGGAAATAAACCTGCGCACTGAAACTATGCTCCCAAAATGAGCATGTTCGACTCACAAATGTTGTCAGCCATGCTTACCTTACAAAAACATCAGGAGAGCTCTTTGCATGCTAGGGTTCATGAACTCATATCTGAAGTCTCCAATATCTGGTATGACCATTGGCTATGTCTAAAGCTCTACAAAGATCGCCACCTTCTGGACAATAATGGGAAAACGTGAGTTACGAATCAGTCCTTCATTGGAAACCTTTGCACATATTTCCACAGTTGAATAACTGAAATAATAAATCTTGACGCAGCAACTATAGATAATCTATCCCACTGGATTAAGGGTACAGTTGATCTGTGAAAATACAGTATAATGCAGGAGGATTAAACTCAATGCCTCCAGCGCTGTCCTGTGTTTTTAATTTTTTTTCATTCCATCCAATATCCTTGGCTTTGATTGGCTGTTTACCAATATCCTTAGTCTTCATTCGCTGTTAGTTCATTTGTACTTAGGCCTTCTACAACTCAACACTAGTGGTCAGTGTGTGGTGTTAAGTTGTGTGTACGGGGGTGTATTCCTTAGTCGCAGACTGTAGCAAAACATTTTGCACCGTAGCAAAACGGTTTACAAACAACAGTTTACTCCAAATGGAAACAATTTTGCAACGAAAATTACAGTTTCTATTGGACAAATTCATGAAGGTCCCTCCCCGTTTCTGTCCGTTTGCTTCTGTTTAGTTCAGTTTGCTTACTAGTATATACACCCGTGTTAAGGCGATGAGATATTTCCTCCAATCGTGTTGGGTAATTTTCAGCCATGTTTGCTCACACATATCAAGAAAGCTATGTCCAGGTTTTCAATAAAGCTTTATAAGTGTGGTGTGTTCAGACCAGGGTTGTGTTCAATAGGGCAAACTGTAGCAAAACATTTCAAAACACTGTGCAGCCAAAAATGAAAACGTAAGGTTACTTGTATAATCCCGGTTCTCTGATATCATGAGTAAGATATCTCATGTGGGGATTCGCTAGGATCACCTACTCTCGGAAGAACCTATCAAAAGCGTCTGTTGGAGACAGACAGGTAAGAGTGGCGAATGAGGTGAGCACCTCACCTTCTGGTTATTCTCAAACATGCTTATCTTGCGAGCAGGGGAATGCGGGGAGATATCTCACAAATAATAAATCAGAGAACCAGGTTTACGCAAGCAACCTTAAGTTCTCTTTCAATTATTCATTTCGATATCTCACATGTTGGGATATGGCCAACCCCGTATCGCAAAGACATGCTGTCCGAAGCCAAGTCCCAACATCAACAACCCTCAGAGGACCCGAAACCGAGGGAGTATGCGGCAAGGTGCAGAAAAAACCCATCTGGAGGGGGGGGGTGAGGGGAAGCCCAATACATGGAGCACACAATCTCAGTTTAATGATATATGTCCCAAAAACAGTGCCCAAGAGGTAAACTCCTCTGTAGGAGAGGGCCCTTCGAGGCCCCGCCGAAGGCCATCACCCTCGACATTATAAATCAAAATAATATCCTGCAGGACATTGTCAAAGAGAGAAGGGCCCAGAAATGTTCTACACACACAACAAGAAGCTTATTTCTCTCAAATGTTATGCACAAATTTGTTTACACCCCTGTTAGTGAGCATTTCTCCTTTGCCAAGATAATTCATCCACCTGACAGGTGTGGCATATCAAGAAGCTGATTAAACAGCATGATCATTACACAGGTGCACCTTGTGTTGGGGACAATAAAAGGACACTAAAATGTGCAGTTTTGTCACACATTGCCACAGATGTCTAAATTTCAGGGAGCGTGCAATTGGCATGCTGACTGCAGGAATGTCCACCAGAGCTGTTGCCAGAGAATGTAATGTTAATTTTTCTACCATAAGCCGCCTCCAACGTCATTTTAGAGAACTTAGCAGTACGTCCAACCGGCCTCACAACCACAGACCATGTGTAACCTCGGAAGCCCAGGACCTCCACATCCGGCTTCTTCACCTGCGGGATCGTCTGAGACCAGCCACCTGGACAGCTGATGAAGCTGAGTATTTCTGTCTGTAATAAAGCCCTTTTGTGGAGAAAAACTCATTCTGATTGGCTGGGCCTGGCTCCCAAGTGGATAACCCTATGCCTTCCCAGACCCACCCATGGCTGCACCCCTGCCCAGTCATGTGAAATCCATAGATTAGGACCTCATTCATTTATTTCAATTGACCGATTTCCTTATATGAACTGTAACTCAGTAAAATCTTTAAAATTGTTGCATGCTGCGTTTATATTTTTGTTCAGTATATTTAGCTTGACCATGCCCAGCACGCATCAGCTGTTGGAGAGACGCAGCGCTGCGGCGCTCCACCTATGTGGCTTTTCTGTAACCCATAGACTGGAGACCAAATGTATTACAATGTCATGAGACACTTTTTCAATCATTAACTTATTAATGAGGAGAGAGTGTGCAGTGAAGGGTCTACTAAAAAGGCAAGCGGGCAGACATTAGCTTTGGAGCGGCTGCAGTATAATCAAACAGAGGTGGACAGCAAATGGTGCTGAAAGTAATTCATTTCAACAATTGTCTTCATTTCAACTTACCTAAAAAACAGAGGGCTTTGTTGGAGCCCATTTCTTCCTATTCAAAAAATAAGAGGTAGGCCCTACCCGTTTGACAGATGCAATTATGCTATCCATAGGTTTGTCGTGTAGCCAAATCCTTGAATACCGTCACCATGCACTCCTTAAATACCGTGTTTGGGAAAGGCTTGGTGTGTATCCAGATAATATAAAGCGTTCTATAGCAATGCTTAACTCCATGATGCCCTTATGCTAGAAACAAGCTTTACAACGCCCACAAAAGTAGTGACTAATGCATATGGGGATTCATTGATTAGTCTCTGACATTCTGAGGCTGAGCTGTGCCTTCAAAATTGACAAAAAAAATTGACTTTTTTGTCCCTATTAAGCTTTTCACTTTCTGAAAAGAGAAAATGTTTAAACCCAGGCAGCTTTTAAGGAAGCACTTCTGTTTCGTTGCAAACAAGACACTGGTTTGACACTGGTGAAATACAGTAAGAATGCCTATTTCTCTGTCCATTCTTCCCTGAAACGTATCATTTTTATTATCTACTGAGACTTTTGAGACTTTTTCAGAGCAACATTTTCTCTTGATTGCAAGCAGTTTTCCCCCAATTAATGCACAAAGAAATATTTAAAAAACGAATTTCAAATAGACATGGGTGATTTTGTCAGTGTAATCAGATTGAACATGTTAAGATATGTTATTGATGTTGAACTGATTATATAGCCTACTAACCAGATGTGTTAAAAATGTTGATTATTTTGTAGCATAGGCCATTTAATTGGGCTACTATTATGTTCTGCTGACTATTAGCTGAGAAACAAAATTGGCCCAAGGCCAAACCCTGCTGTACACTATTATAGTTTAGTGGGGACAGGAGGGGGTGGCCATTTGTCTCGACTAGGGCGGCAGAACATCCATACAATTTTTGAGTGCATGTGCGTGCACACATAGGAGGTCCTGTACCGGGAAGAAATTAAATCTACTTTCACCCCTGGTTCAATGTCTGTGATGGGAGAAAACTGAGGATGGATAAACAACATTGTAGTTCCTCCACAATAATGACCTAAATGACAGAGTGAAAATAATACAAATATAGAGAATATTCCAGAACATGCATATGTATGCAACAAGGCACTAAAGTAATAGTGCAAAAACACGGCAAAGGAACACACCTTTTGGCCTAAATGCAAAGCCTTATGTTTGGGGAAAATCCAACACAACACTGAGTAACTGCATCCTTATTTTCAAGCATGGTGGTGGCTGCATCATGGTATGGGTATGCTTGACATCGGCAAAGACTGGGGAGTTTTTCAGGATGAAAAGAAACGGAATGAAGCTAAGCACATGCAAAGTGTCCTAGAGGAAACAATATCCTATAACACAAAGCCAAATCTACACTGGAGTTGCTTACCAAGAAGACCGTGAATGTTCCTGAGTGGCCAGGTTAAAGTTTTGACTTAAATCTGCTTGAAAATCTATGGCAAGACTTGAAAATTGTTATCCCAACACCTTGACAGTGCTTGAAGAATTTCGAAAATAATAAATAAAAAAAGGGCAAATATTGCACAATACAGGTGGCAAAGCTCTTATGAGACTTGCCCAAGAAGACTCAGCTGTAATCACTGCCAACTGTGTTTCTAACATGTATTGACTCAGTGGGTGAATACTTATCTAAATCAAGGTGTATTAGTGTTGTTGTTTTTTTATGTTTGAATTTTTCTTCCATTTTAATCCGACATTGTAACACAAAATGTGAAGAAATCCAAAGGGGATCTGAACAGATCTTAAGCACAATAGTCAACAGACCTGTAGCTTATTTGAAAATACCAACTTTTCAAATACTCAAGGTAGTCGAATATATAGTACAGTATCAATCTACACAAAATACCCAATAATGACAGGTTTAGAAAACAGGTTTAGAAATGTTTGCTAATTTATTACAAATAAAAAACAAAAATAGCTTATTTACATAAGTATTCAGACCCATTGCTATGAGACTCGAAATTGAGCTCAGGTGCATTCTGTTTCCATTGATCATCCTTGAGATGTTTCTACAACTTGGAGTCCACTTGTGGTAAATTCAATTGATTGGACATTATTTGGAAATGCAGTCACCTGTATAAGGTCCCACAGTTGACAGTGCATGTCAGAGCAAAAACCTAGCAATGAGGTCGAAGGTATTGTCCGTAGAGCTCCGAGAGACAGGATTGCATCGAGGCACAGATCTGGGGAAGGGTACCAAAATGCTGCAGAAATGTTTTGGTACCCTTCCCCAGATCTGTGCCTCGATGCAATCCTGTCTCTCGGAGCTCTACGGACAAGTCCTTCAACCTCATGGCTTGGTTTCTGCTCTGACATGCACTGTCAAATGTGGTACCTTATGTAGACAGGTGTGTACCTTTCCAAATCATGTCCAATCCATTGAATTTACCACAGGTGGATTCCAATCAAGTTGTAGAAACATCTCAAGGATGATCAATGGAAACAGGATGCACCTGAGCACAATTTCGAGTCTCATAGCAAAGGGTCTGAATACTTATGTAAATAAGGTATCTGTTTTTTTATACATTTGCAAAAATGTCTAAAACCTGTTTTTGCTTTGTCATTATGGGGTATTGTGTGTAGATTGATGATATAGCTATTGTTAAATCCATGTTAGAATAAGGCTGTAACATAACAAAATGTGGAAAAAGGGTTCTGAATACTTTCCGAATGCAATGTAGTGTATAAGGAAAACAGTAAATTGAAATAAAATTCATTAGGCCCTAATCTATGGATTTCACAACTGGGAATACAGATATGCATCTGTTGGTCACAAATACCTTTAAAAAAGGTTGATCAGAAAAACAGTCAGTATCTGGTGTGACCACCATTTGCCTCATGCAGCGCGACACATCTCATTCGCATAGAGTTGATCAGGCTGTTGATTGTGGCCTGTGGAACGTTGTCCCACTCTTCAACGGCTGTGCGAAGTTGCTGGATATTGGCGGGAACTGGAACACGCGGTCATACACGTTGATCCAGAGCATACCAAACATGCTCAATGGGTGACATGTCTGGTGAGTATGCAGGCCATGGAAGAACTGGGACATTTTCAGCTTCCAGGAAATATGTTACAGATCCTTGCAACATGTGGCCATGCATTATTATGCTGAAACATGAGGTGATGGCGGCAGATGAATGGCACAACAATCGGCCTCAGGATCTAATCATGGTATCTCTGTGCATCCAAATTGCCATTGATAAAAGGCAAATGTGTTCGATGTCCGTAGCTTATGCCTGCCCATACCATAACCCCACCATTGGGCACTCTGTTCACAACGTTGACATCAGCAAACTGCTCGATCACACAACGTCATTCAGGTGAACTGAAGAACACAATCTTCTTTATCGCCTAATGTATTGCACAAGTTGACTGCAGGTATTTACTTAAAGTAGCTACAAATATTAAAAATGTATTAAAACACTTCAAAGAAAGTTTCAACGGTATTGACAAATACCTGGTATACCGCCCAAGTCTAATAGTCACTAGTCTTCCCTTTCATTTTAGTAGACATATTTTGCCATAATGATATGATCACACCATACAACAAGGGATGTAGCCTACAGTCAGAGATAGACAATGTTGATTGGCAGGTGGAATGATGTCCAATGGGGTTGCAATGTAAAAGTGGGAGGCAAGGGTCAGGTCGGCTCCTTTTCTCCTTGCTTGGCAGAGAATTCAGAAAAGGTAAAATGGTGAACCATTCAACCAAATGTATCACATTAAATGCATATGCCATATTATGTAGATTTGCGTTAATCCACAAAGTGGGGGGGGGGGGCCTGCATAACCTGATGACGTAGCTCACACTAGTTCAACCTCACTCTCCCTGAGGGAGAGGTGCGCATTTTGACATTTGATTCCCCTTTAAACCCAAAAAGAGAGAGGGTAGGGCAGAGGGCTGCGCCCTAGGTTGGCCGAACCCTTCTTACCTCCCTTAGAGGGGCAGATCCTTTCTGCGGCATAAGACTGCTTCCCTACAGGTTTGGCCATTTTCAGGGGCCTAGCCTGAGTCCTGGCAGACTGCTGCATTTCTTTCTGTTAAGCTGGATAAGTTCAGCCAAAGCACCCTTTCTCCCACCACAGCTAGGCTCATGGTACCACTACAGCCTTTAATGGCACCACGGCAGACATGGAGGTTTAGGTCTGTAATCATATAGATCTCTTCCCAAACGGCTCCACCGTGGGAGGGTTGCCAAAACCTGATTCCTCCATATTGTGGATGTCCAAGCTCAGGGTATCCCTAGCAAGAATCTTGCTAGTGAGGGGTTTATCCCACAAGCTCTAAGCTTCCCTGAGGCAAGTTGGTACTGCGGGGAGCAGTTATTTTACTAGGGCTGTATAAGACGGGAGTCTCTTCCCGTCGTATAGGTCCCTTAACGGGTCCTGAGCCCCCACAGGAGACGGCCACGCGATGCCAAGTCTGGCCGCGGACCGCTTGCAGACATGAAGGAGCCCAAACTCCAAACAGAGGGGCAACTCCACCACACTCGGGCCGTCAGGCCTGCGGGCATGAGAATGGGGGTCGTCATCCCCCATCTCCTGAGCTATCTCGAGGATATCTGTGAGATTACTCCCATCGTCATCCCCTAACTCGCCTTCCCGACACTACGTCGTCAGACAGTGAGGGGAGGGAGTCAAGGCTATCCATGGCCTCGCCCCAACTGGGCTCGGTTGCGAGGAGCTGAGCCTCAGTTGTCGCTGTTGGCTCGGAGGCAAGAGGGGATACCTAGATAGAAGCATGTTTAAGCCTCCTCTTCAGGCCTGCCCTCATCAGCAGTTTGCAGTGCTGCAGGTCTCAGGGTCGTCGAGCGCCTCTTGGGCATGTTCCTTACCCATGCAATTGATGCGTAGAGGTTGGCAATCATGGAACTGCAAGCACAAATACGTGGGGGTTCGAGTGCTGTGTTACGCTCGTCCTGGGATAGCAGTGGCCATTGTGAGGAACAAGGCTTGCTAGGGGGACAGAGAGACTCATGGCGTAAGCTAGCTAGTTAGAAGCCTTGCGGCTGGTGGCTAGCAAATAATAGCTTGTGTAAATGGCGTAATAAGCTAGCTAGTTTGAAGCCTTGCGGCTAACAGATAGCAATGATAAGCACAGTAGAACGCTACAGCCGCGAGGCTAGTGGGGTGTTAGCTAGCTAGCAGCTACTTCATGGTGGAGGTGTGCCGTGGCTAGCTCAGTGCGGGCTGCAGGAAATAGCGTGGGGGCAGAGTTAGCCTTCAGATTGTTGTTCCGCGACCAAAGCAGCTGTGAGGCTGAGACGGTCGATCTAGTTAACACAACGGGTGAACGTAGGTTAAACTAGACGAGAGAAGGAAGCTAGCAACGCTACCGTGTTGCAGGTAAGATATGCTAGTGAGGTCAGCTTACCTCTCAGTGAGCTAGCCAAGTTGGCCTTGCAGCGTGGTTTAACAGTCTTAATAGCTAGCCGTGAAGCTAGCTACCACGGAGACTGAGAAGTAGAAAAGGAATTTCTACATGAAACAAAAACCTCCCAGACAGTACTCAACCTCTCAACAGAGTCTGAAGACCTACACTAGGCAGCAATATCCTTCACGGTTCACTTGTGAGCAGATAAGCAGGAAAACAGGGACCAGTCGATCTGAGGAGCGCTATAGTAGTAATGCTCTTCGTGAGGAAGAGAAGCCAGAATAACCAGAGTGTGGGAAAGAGTGGCTCACCTCATTTGCCACCCTACTCTCCAACAGACACTTTTGATAGGTTCTATTGAGAGTAGGTGATCCTAGCGAATCCCCACATGCGAGATATCGAATCAAATAATTGAAAGAGAACTACCCCATTTCGGATAGTTTTCTTCCGTTTCGTGCCTAGTGAACACAACCCAGGTTAGTGAATGTTGTTCAGGCGGGGGGCTCACCAGTGCTCATGTGTCGGTCAGTAGCCGGGCCGGTGCAGGTGTCCCCCTGGGTGGGGGAGGTCTGGAGGATGAGGGCCCTCTGGTGGTCCGACAGGGCCTGGATGTTTCCCCGCACACGCAGCCACCCGGCCGCACAGGAGAAGTTGGCCACTGACACACACACACACACACACACAGAAATGACTACTATCCTAGGAAACATAAAACCAAATCCCACATCCTCAACATTGGATGACAAAAAAACTGAGTATTGCACAATGTTATGTGCGGGTATATAAATGAGGACATGTATTATGCGTGTGCCTGTGTGGTGGCTCATGAGAGGAGGAAGAAGGGGAGGACCATCCGGAATAACAAAAAAAAGTTATCCTTTTTAGATGAAACTATACAAAATATATTCACGGCACCAAATACAAGATTAAAACACAGTTTTGCAATGAAGGTCTACAGTAGTCTCAACAGCACCATCTAGGGTAGCACCATGATGTGGCCGGAGGACAGCTATTTTCCATCCTCCTCTGGCTACATTGACTTCAATACAAAACCTAGAGGCTTGTGCTCCTTGCCCCCTTCCATAGATCTACATGGCAATTATGACGACTTCCGGAGGATGTCCTCAGACCAATCAAAGCTTTTGCAGTATGAACTGACATGTTGTCCATCCAATCAAAGGATCAGAGAATGAACGTACTACTACGCATGTGTGATTTAAAAACTTGTCGAGTTAGTGCCATTTATTTCAAATTTGCCCTGCTAACTTTAGTAGCAAGTAGCTAGCTAGCTACCAGAGCGCAGATTTATCTGCCAGAATGGCTAGCTAACGCTTACGACAATGTAGTGGGTTTTTGTTGTTGAAGAACCCGTTTCATTGCCCGCATCAAATTCAAGCTTCTGGGAAAAAGATGCGATCATGTAATGGACAAAGGTCTGCGTATTCAAACAGCGCAACACAATGAGAAGGGTAAGAAGATACAGAGATACTGTATTTTTGGGCATGTAAGAATTGACATTTTTTGGGGGCACGTTGCTTCGTCCCGCTACGTTGCGGGACAAAGCAAGGGGGCATGATGAGAGGGAAAGTTCCGCTAACAAGGGCAACAACAAGGAGCTTGCAGAGGTAAGTGCACGTTATGATGCTTTACTTGCTGAGCCTATGGAAGTTTCTACTGTATTCTCTGGGATGTCGGAATCAATTCAGAATGAGTGGGATTAACAGTCAGGTTAACGCAGCAAATTTTTTCGCATGTCAAATGGATGAAACCACAGACATCAGCTGTCGCACACAGTTGTTAGTTATCGTCAGGTATGTGGATGATCAGGTGTTTATTCAGGAACGTTTCTTGGGCTACTTTGATGTGTCAAGTGGGCAAGATGCGCAGTCTGTGTTAGACTTTTCCTCATATCAGGAGAGAGAACTCAGACGTCTGAGTTTAAATTCATGGAGAAACTTGTTTCCCAAACTTACGTTAGTGCTGCTGTAATGGAATGTATCTGCTATTTGTTTTTACAGCTAAGTCCACTCCTGTTCCCTGATTAAGAGGGGATGAACACTCCACTACCAGTGTCAGTTCTCTCCTGATATGAACTGAAGCCATGTCTCATGTAACGTCTCGTCCACTGGCGCAATGAATGTTTCCTCTCCAAGCACTGAGTAGCCCTGTCCATTTTCTCTCATTACTGTATGTAGAGTCAATCACATACACATTGACATTATTACACATCAGTGTATTCCCAGTCAAATCCTGTCCTGCCCTCAGTGGAATTGTTGCGCTCTTCTCCAACACCATCCATCCATGATGAGCCTGTCCTGCACTGAAGCCTCTGAACACCTCAACTCATATCATACCCTCATTTAATCACTGCGGTGATCCCTGCCCCACACTGTAAGTAGCCCTCTCATTCCCCATAGTATTTCACTATAAATGTCTATTAAATGTTTTAGGTCAAAATAATTTGTCTTTGAATATTTTTTAAACACGCTTTGTCCTCTCTGTGCGTTCTGCGCCTATACCGTGGGTCTCCCATCCGCCAAACATGTTCAAGTCACCAGCCTCCACTAGTGTGCCCTTGTTTGCAACTGTGTGTGTGTGTGTGTTTGTCTCTCTAATGCAAGAGTGTTGTGTCTCACCCTGCAGGTAGAGGGCAGAGATACCACAGTGACATCTTTCTTCCAGGTAGCCAGCCACATCCATCTCACTGTGACCCTGCACCAGCCCACTGCAGTCTGACACAGAACGAGAGCAACAGATGGATAGAGAGAAAGAAGGAAAGAGTGAGCGTTAGTATGGTTAAGGACGGTACATAAGCAATTAGCAATACCAATGAGTTGAGACCACTTGATTGAACATTATATTAAGTATTACGCACTTAAAATACAACACCTCAAATACGCTATATCAGAAAAACTGTCTAGTCATGCAGCAGACAGAATCGTTCCTCAAATCTTTCCAGAAATGTGAGTCCATAAATAGGTGCTACTAGCGTCACTTTCCATTGACACTTCCCTTTTCTTAGAATCACCACAAAAAGGCCAATTTCCCAAGGAATATGGATGACATGGCTTACTTCCTGGGTGCTCCTGCCAATCACCGGAGAGGGGCGCCAAGCATAGGTCGATGTCGCTGGAGAAGGCTGGGCTGGGGCAGATGTTGGTCAGGCGTGGGGTGGGGGAGGAGCTGGTCCAGGAGGAAGGGCTTCTCGCCTCACAGCAGGAGCAACGGCTGAGAGAGACAGGACCTTCCTCCACTGACCTGTAGCGTACAGACAGAGGTGTGCGCGCACACACGGTATCTTTATTGACACTAAGGCCTAGATTCAATCCGATCGACGTTAACTGGCGATAGTAGACACCCGCATAGCTGATGTTTTGGAGGTGTCGGAGGAAGAACTGCGTTTGAGCTGTCAAATCGGTGAGCAGCTGCTATTGTGATCATTGTCACGAAGCCACACCCGTCCCACTCGCGTTAGAAGTTCAGAACGAGAAAGCGTAGGCTAAATAGAAATTAGGGCCGGGACGATACCAGTATCACGATACTCAAAGCGGCTTTAACTTCTTAAGGAAAACAGGAAACAAACCAGAGTCACATGTATTTATTTTCCAAGCTATAGCACACAATATTTTACATACAACAAGTTTATAAAGGACCAAAGAGTTTGGTCTGCTTCTTGTTTTCATTTTTGCCATGGAAAAAATATGGCGATACTGGTATCGTCTCGGCCCTAATAGAAATGATGACGCTCAAAATCATTAAACAAAATAATTAGAATTTCTAATCAGCCTAATCGTGGTGTAGATTACATCTCACATTCCATTGTTCGAACTTGTAAACAAGGCTGCATGGGATTTCTCTTAATGCAACACAGTGCAGCCAATGGCAATGTCAGGTTTAGGTATAATGCCGGTAGCAGCTTGTGGATTTAACAGCTTTCTAACGCAGTTTCACCTCTGACACCGTAAAAACATCAGCTATGCAGATGTCGGCTAAAGCAGATCTAATTGAATCGGGTCCTAAGACTGTCTAGCTACACTTGACCTATATACCCTGACGAAGAGTTTTATTCTCAGTAGTAAAAACAAGTGAATTTCATTCCTACCTGAGTACAGGCATCACCTGCTGCCCTCTGGTGGCTGAGAGTTTAATGAGCAGTCTCAGGTCATCACTGAACACTAGGGTGTCTCGGAGAGTGCTGTTGGTTAGGGTGGTACCAGCTCTACACACAGTGACTGTGTCAGAACACAGGACTACGGCTCCATTGGCCGGAATTGTGGCCCCCTGGGGAAACACCTGGTCTGTGAGAGGGATAGCGGAGAGGAGATTATAGACCAAAAGCGGAGGTGAGGGAGAAAAATACATTTTGATTTAGTTTTATTTTGTGCCGTTTATCTTTCCAGGGTAGTGTTTATTAGGGCAACAAAACACTTCAAAACGTTGTGCAAATAGTCCCTCCCCATTTCTGACCATTTTCTTCCGATTTGTGCCTAGTGAACATCACCCTGCTCTCACCTGCTCCAGTGACGTTCCCGATGAGGTAGAAGCCGTTGTGGTCAGTGATACTGGTCAGGGGTAGGGCCATGGTCGTACCGGTGCGATACTCTTCAAACACTGTCAGGACCAGGCCCTGTAGGGAGGTCAGGGGCGGTCCTAGCAGCTCCACAAACCCCCTCTGCCGGCTGTGGTTGGTCCAGCGGGCACTGCCCACCTCGCTGATGACCACGCCCTCAGGGGGAGGGGGTGGGCGGGGACAAGAGTTCTCCCTCAGAGGTGTGGGTGGGGCCACCTGAAGAACAATAGAATTGATAGACGTTCAATGGTACAATAGCTTGCCAATTGAACAGGTGCCGTGGCTATCTAATCTAATAGTCAGACTGGGGCCACGTCCCAAATATCACCTTCTTCCCCAAAGTGTGCACTTCTTCACTCCCCTTCACTTATTTAAAAAGGAAATAACTGCTATAAGAAATATGGTGGAAACTCCCTCTAGCCCATGCCTCCCCCAATCCAATGCTTTTAGAATTTTGGGAAGTAGTGAACGAGTGTACACTTCAGGAGAAATAAGTATTATTGGGTCTCACCCCAGGCGTTTCTCTCACGCTATGGGAATTCCTACACATGTACAAAACCCACCTTCTTTCTAGTACACAGTAAGATGCCAGATAAGTAAATGCTTTCTTTCTAGATACGCAATGGCCAAACAATGAGCAAAAAACAACTGTTTAGAGTAAGGTTGTGCCGATGTTGTCATACATTCGTAATCGTATCCATTTTAATCACACTTGATACTCGTAATCGGATTTACTCATGATCGGAAAACCTGGAAGTGAGCTTTAAATGCCGGTAAAGCCTATACCTCAAGTACACATTACTGCACTATCACTCAGAGTGCATCTCAGAGCACATCGTTATGTTCCTTCACTCATTCACACAAATTGTTAAACGACCCGACAGATGAAAATGCACATGATTTACTTACTTAGTCCAATTCAACTATCAACGACATAGGCTAATATATAGCCTAATGCATGGCTGGCTACTACTGCCTGATTTGATTCCAGACACAGATTTAGATTAAGGTAGGCTAATTCGCTTGCCCCATATATTGTTTAACTTTTGAGAGGAGCAAAACTTCTCTTCCGACACTTATGCCACAACATTTGATCAATCAAAATAAACAAACAATCTACTTTTGTCATTTTATTTTCTAATGATCTGTCGCTAAGTAAACATGCCTGGGCGAGAATAAATAACAATAGCAAGCAAGCAGTGGCTTGGATAACGACAGACGTCGTCAGCAATGGAATAATTATACGGGCAGACAAAGTAGGCCTACTAAACAATGCCAAGTAGACAGACTAAAACCACCATATAGCCTCAGCAAAGACAACAGGAAATAACTAGATTGAACAACAACGACTAGCTACAGATTCTGATTTATACACAATGTTTGGAGAAGGGGAGACTTGTGCCCTGAGACGACCGTGTGAGTGTCTGTCTGGGGAAATGAGAGCAGAGGGAGAGCGGCTTGTTCTAATCCAATCGTTGAGGCAGGCTCAACCGATACCCCGCCCGTTTCTTTACAGACAGAAGAACTAGCCAATAGTTGTTTAGAGCACACAGCGCTTCACACTGTTTGAGTGAAAGAGAGATGCGTGCTGGCAGCTGAAAATTACTTTTTTCCCAATCACGGATAATTACAAAAAAATACCCGTCATACTCGTATCTGGGAAATTCTCCATACACGTTACGATACTCATTTTGTCCGAGTACTCGGCACACCCCTAGTTCAGAGATGTTCCATTCCAATTAGTTGACAAAATCGGAATAGAGATAAAACATAAATAGTGAAAAGACTGCAATTATCCTTGAGGACAAAGGGCATGCCATATTATGGTTGTTTTAGCTTCCTTATTTATGTAATTATAGTGAACAAAAATATAAACGCAACATGCAACAGTTTCAAAGATTTTACGGAGTTAGAGTTCATATAAGAAAATCAGACAACTGAAATAAATTCATTAGGCCCTAATATATGGATTTCAAATGACTGGGAATGCATCTGTTGGTCACAGATAATGTACCTTAAAAAAAAGGTAGGGGCGTGGATCAGAAAACCAGTCAGTATCTGGTGTGACCACCATTTGCCTCATGCAGCACAACACATCTCCTTTGCATAGAGTTGCTCAGGCTGTTGATCGTGGCCTGTGGAATGTTGTCCCACTCCTCTTCAATGGCTGTGCGAAGTTGCTGGATTTTGGCGGGAACTGGAACACGCTGTCGTACACATCGATCCAGAGAATCCCAAACATGCTCAATGGGTGACATGTCTGGTGAGTATGCAGGCCATGGAAGAACTGGGACATTTTCAGCCTCCAGGAATTGTGCAGATATCCTTGCGACATGGGGGTCGTGCATTATCATGCTGAAACATGAGGTGATGGCGGCAGATGAATGGCACGACAATGGGCCTCAGGATCTCGTCACGGTATCTCTGTGCATTCAAATTGCCATCGATAAAATGCAATTGTGTTGGTTGTCTGTAGCTTATGCCTGCCCATACCATAACCCCACCGCCACCATGGGGCATTCTGTTCACAACATTGATATCAGCAAACCGCTCACCCCTATGACGTCATACATGTGGCCTGCGGTTGTGAGGCTGGTTGGATGTACTGCCAAATTCTCTGAAACGACATTGAAGGCGACTTATGGTAGAGAAATGGACATTAAATTCTCTGGCAACAGCTCTAGTGGACTCTTTTGCAGTCAGCATGCCAATTGCACTCTCCCTCAAAACATGAGACATCTGTGGCATTGTGTGTGACAAAACTGCACATTTTAGAGTGGCGTATTATTGTCCCCAGCACAAGGTGCACCTGTGGAATGATCATGCAGTTTAATCAGCTTCTTGGTATGCCACACCTGTCAGGTGGATGGATTATCTTGGCAAAGGAGAAATTCTCACTAACAGGGATGTAAACAAATTTATACACACAGTTTGAGAGAAACAAGCTTTTGGTGCACATGGAAAATTTCTGGGATCTTTTATTTCAACTCATGAACCATGGGACCAACACTTTACATGTTGCGTTTATATTTTTGTTCAGTATACTCTAGCTAAGGGCCTCTGCTGATGTAATAGAGGAAGGGGTCCTCACCACGAAAGCAGACAGGTCGGCGGGCAGGAGGCCGTTACAGCGGCTCAAGGCCTCGTCTCCGGGCTGCACTTCCGGGTCCTCCAGCAGGGGGAGCTGTCCTGGGGTCAACGCATCGCTCAGCTCCTGGGCGTCCTTGTCCGAGCCCCTCAAACGGTACACTACTGCATCTAGCAACCCCTTGGTGGGGATCCCTGTCTGAAAGGCAGAGGGCGGGCCGAAGGGGCTGCGGTACAGGGCCACTGCGTCCGGTCCGTTCTGGATGGTGTTGGGTGGTAGGCGGATCGAGGGGGCCGGGACCAGCCTATCACTGCCCACCAGGAAGTAGCCTTGGGCAGTGGTGAAGTGGCCTGTGAGGCTGATCTCGCGGTAGGGCTTGCTGTTGTGTCCGCTGAACAGGAGGAGCCACAAGGCCTGCAGGGAGACGCGGCGGCCCGACAGGTGCCACAGCTCGATGAACTCGCCGTCCTCGGCCGAGCCCGGGTTGTCAGCATTTACCTCGCTGATCAGAAAGTCCCCCCGACCCCAGGGAGGGAGGTGAGGGGGCACTTCTGTACCCCCAGGGACCACTGAAGAGCGGGAAAAGGAGATTTACCAAATAGCAACAGGTCAAAACTCACTACAATTTGGATAAATTATAGTCTCTTCAATTTGATAACTACTTACATTAAGTTGCTCTTATACCCATGTTTGTAAAGACATGTTGTTAGATATTATATTCTATTCGATTTATGTTCATTATCCTAAATGTTTATTGAATTTAATTGGCTTTGATTGATTAGAAGCTAATTGACTCTGGCTAGCCTATAAGCACTAATGTGCATCACCAATCGAAAGCATCACCAATGTAAAGGTGTGTGTCAGTGTGATAGAGAAATATGGAACACTCACCAATGGCGTGAGGGCAGATCTTTGGCCAGGGGCACTGGTTGGGCTGTCCGGGGGTTTGTGGCGCTTCCCAGAATACACCAGGGTCTCTGGTCCAACTGGCCACACCACAGCGACTGAGGTAGAGGCCTCCTTCCCCAAACCTGAGAAAGAGCAGCAAGGTTAGTACTTCAGCCCAAGATAGACAAATAAATATATTGATGGGTGGGTGGCTGGATGAGTATGGGTGGGTGGCTGGATGAGTTTGGGTGGGTGGCTGGATGAGTTTGGGTGGGTGGTTGGATGAGTTTGGGTGGGTGGCTGGATGAGTTTGGGTGGGTGGCTGGATGAGTTTGGGTGGGTGGCTGGATGAGTTTGGGTGGGTGGCTGGATGGATTACCTGGCGCTGAGCTGGTAGGGCTGTCTGCCTGGTATAAGGGTCTCTGTGAGGTTGGCGCTGGGTTGGTTTCCTGGTCCAGCGAACACGAAGGCATCTAGGGGCTGCGTCTGGCTCAGGGGGCTGCCTACAGGGAAGTCAGAGGCCTTGCCACTGTACAGCGCCACTGCCCCCGACTCATCTCCTGATGTACAACATAGTAGAACTTAATCACTCAACACAGCTTTCACACCAACGAACAATTCAACACAACACTTTTTGCACACAGGAAGTTAAACAATGTGGTAGATATAATTTCACACACAAAAATACTACAGGTCCAGCTCCTTGACTCAGAAATCTCTGCAAGACCTCCCAATGAAGAGATATGAAGAGACAGTATTGGCTTTTGAAAAGCAGCTTTTCTCAGCCCTGAAGACCAGTAGGAGCTCCTCCAGGTACAGGTTCACTGACCTTTCATGTTGTTCTTGTCGATGGTGATGGAGAGCAGGCCTTCCCTGGAGGTGTGCACGTCCACACTCTCGCTGACCGTGTCCGTCCGCCCGTCCAGCACCAGCAGCACCAGAGGCCCTGCAGCCTGGGACTCGCTTAACTCCACAAACCCGTCCACCTGCCCCCCTCCCAGCTTCAGCTCGCTGATACGCGTGGTGGCAGTGATGGGATCAGGGGGGATGCAACGGTTGCGTTGGCCAGGTGATGGCAGGTCCACCTGGAAGCCCCAGCTTTCCCCAGAGACCAGGCACCTCTCGATGGACTCATCACCCTCATGGGCCCCCTCATCCTCCACGAAGGCAGGCACCCCAGGGGTCAACGTCTCGGCCAGAACCTCCGCACCCCCGGACCGCCGCGTCATGTACACGATGGCATCCACCAGCCCCACGGCTGTGGCATTCATCTTCTCCCCGTAGCGTGCCGCGGATGTGTGGTATAGCGCGATGGCGTCCGGGCCATTCTGGACGGTATTGGGTGGGAGGGGGATGGCCGGTTTTGGCTGCATGTCCACCGAGCCAACCAGGAAGAAGCCCCGGTCGTCTGTGATGTGGCCCTTCAGGTCCAGTACTTTGTAGGCTATATTGCCGTTTCCATTGTAGAACACAAGGGTGTAGCCTTCCAGTGAGACCCTTTGACCGCCAGTGTGGTAGAGTTCGACGAACTCAGTGGTGTCCAGTTTGGGGTTGTCTGCGTTGACCTCACTGATGATGAGGCAGGGATCTCCCCTGACTGACGCAACCAGACACACTGACAGGCAGACAGCGTATGCTGCGACCACGTGAAGGGCCAGTCTTACCACCATGGTTAACTAATTCCCCAAAAATGTCAGTGCTAAAATGCATTAAGGGTGGAAAGTCTGAAAAATGAGGAAGAAACTTCTGAGGCACGAAAACAACAAATATTACCTAGAAATCACAGAAGGTAAAATTAAATTGTAGTGAGGATATCATAACGGTCTTCATCACCCAGACAAGGAGCAAACTCAAAACCACAGAACTGTTTATCGGTTTTGACAAAAATAGACAGATTGAGGACCAGGCTATAGTGTGGTGCATGTTGCAATCTAGGCTAGTAGTGCCTGACAATTGCCCAAAGGGAGCATTCAATGATTGAGTCACCAAAACAGGAATATGATCGGGAATGTATGTCTCTTATGAGTTAGTGTGGGTAAATCCTGCATTTCTTGGAAAGCACATGTAGACTAGGATAAATGTATTTCATCCAAAATAATTTAGGCCGTGGCTGCGGATTAACACTAAAATATGTAAACTGTGATTTGTATTTAATTTTTTCTCACTAGTGCTTTTATAGCTTCCTGGACCTTGAATTAACCAAATCGTAGCTGTAATCTTCCGTAGACAACGTTAAAATAAAAAATGTGCGTAATCCAATTTTCGATCGTTTCTTACCAAACGTTAGACCAGGGAAACACAACGACTGTTAATTTGGCTCGAGCGCCGTAGTGGATGGAAAACTAAGAAAGTTGCCTGCTAATTATTTATTTTTTAAATGCCCAACTAAGCTACTCTACGTGCTCTGTAACTATAGAGTGTAAATATTGGAACAGTATTGAATATCTTCAGTTAAAACCCCATTCAAAACCACTACTTGTTGCATAGAAGACGATATTCAAGTCACGGCTATTGCTATCTCAGCGACGAAACGGTTGTCATTCGAGTTCATCAGTGCCACACAGGGTTACAAAGTAGCGACGTGACTTACTGTATTTCAGTGTCCCCGTCTACGACGAAGGGATTATCGATTTTTTTTAAACAATCCAACAGAGAATGAATCTGTTTTTGTATTCCGATAGAGATATTCGGAAACTTTGTTTCAATCTCTGCCGCTCCCAGCGTCGTGTGTCCACATTGACAAAGCACTTTCTCTCTCCCCCCGCGCGTGGGCGGTCGGAGGGGGATGATCCTTGGGTATCCTTCTCGTTCTGCGTAACATTCCAGGCCATTAAAATTCAGCTCTGAGGTCGGCCAGTGTTTTCCTAAAAAGTTGATATTTTGGCCTTATGTTTAGAAAAGTGATTTGATTACATTTGCCTTGTTTACATTTGTGTTAAAGGAGGAAAGGTGGGAATTTTTAAATGTCGTTTTCTAACATTTTAGGGGAGTGTTGACCTACACCTTGATTTATATGGCCTCTAAACACCTTGGCCACACCAGCAAGTTGGCTATTCCTAGCTGGGTGACCTCATCTAATATGTTCTTGATTAACAAGCATTAAGAAAAATATTAATCACATTTTTAACATTCACAAGTGTCTCTAAATGTAGGGCCAAGTCTACCACTGACTTTCCACGTGTGCCTTTTTACATTGTAGTTTGGACATTAGAAGTGCCTACAGTCAATTATATTTGGGCAACAGTCCAAGCAATACAGGTCGGCTGAAATAAATTGTTGGAAAAATATAGTTTCACCACTTATTTAGTAGCCTACATCTGAAAATCAACTGTGTGTTGAACTGATCATAGCCAATGCAATTCATCAGTTTCTTTGAAATATGAATCATAACATTAAAATCACAAGCTGAAATATGCAAAAATTAGTAGGTATAAATAAATAATATATGTGAGATCCGGTATTATCCATAAGCACACGGACCAGATCCCCTCACAACACATTCGGATTTGACATGAATACAGTGTAATATTGTCTTAAACAACGGAAGTCTAGTTGTATATCTGCGCTGAATCATTTTCCTATTGAGGTGTTAAACCGCTGACTTCAAGAGCGAATGCACCTAAAAGCAACTTCTCGTTTTGAAAATGGAATATGTGGCATCGATATGAGTAAGAAACATGTATTCTACTGTCAAAATTGACTACAGTGTAAATAGGATAATTTTGGCCATAAAGTCAGTCTCGTCCAAAACGGAGATTTGCAAAATGATACGAAAACATGGTGTCACAGAATGAAGGGTACTGTAAGCTTTCCCGTGGGTTGGGTTTGTTAAATTCTGCCCACATGCCCACAGCACCCAAGTAATATTAAAATTCCGAGCACAGATGCACATGACTTGATCATAATGCCCATGGTCAATTTGGTTTGACATTCGATATCCCTATGGGGCTAGTTAGGGACCGTCAGTAAATCACACAATGTACATGGGATACATTTTTTTTTTTTTAAAGGGCAATAGCTCCAAATTTCAATGACTTCAAAACCTCAAACCAACTATAAATTGTAGAAATTCATAAATTCAAATATTGAAAGCATTTATAGAGACAACTAAAAGATGTGCAACATGAAAATATTGTCCCATTTACATGGTGTAATTTATTGATTGGGTTATTTAGCCTAAAAACCCGTTAGGACTACCTATAAAAAATACATAAACTCTGCATCTCTGCCCAGGCTGGCAAGAGTGGCCAAAAGGGTGTTTAGTATCCCCAGTGGCTCTGCAAGTGCAGAGAGGATATTCTCCGCTGGCTGGCCTGCTCTCCAGTGTTTATATGCTGTTTAATATGATATGTAGCCTATTTGAAATGATGAGCACTTATTACATTCACCTTTTCATGTTTATTAAAGTACTTTTCATTCAAATCATATGGTTTGGTTTCAATACTTCAAAACCAAACAGTAGGTCCAGGTAGTGACAAAAAATAGAGGGAATTTGAAGCAGCAGTTTTTTCCCCCTGTGAGCACAGAGCGGTTTTTAGCAGAGCAGTTGGAAAGGAGGTGGGGCACCTGAGCGGTGTGCAAGCACCTGCTCACATACTCTGCCACCAACAAATTAAATGCTAATTTAAAAAATGAATGGTGGAAAAACGATTGGAACCGTTTCCCTGTTTGACCGCTAGGTTTTATGACACCTCTGCTGTGGGGCTCTATGGCTGCTAGCATTTCTTAATGAACCAAATCTAAAACAAGGCCAAATCAGGAAATGCAGTCACCCTGAACTTCCCAATTTAGTCTTGGTTTCAATTCTCATTAGGTAATGGGATAGGCTATAAGGGCTTTTATAATTTCATAATGTATAAAACAATTAGATTAAGGTTAGGGTAAGGGTCAGGTTTAGGTTAAGGTCAGTTTTTTTGTTAGGCTTTAAGTTTTTTGGCAGGTTTTGAAATAAAAGCAAAACTGTTACGGTACCCTTCATTCCACGACATACAATTTTTTCCTAATTATCTCGCAAATCTCAGGTTTTGGAAGAGACTGACTTACTTTATGACCAACATTATCCTATTTACACTCTGTAGTAAATTTTGACACTAGAATAAACGTTTGACTAATATCGATGCCACATAGGCAATTTTCTACCAGAGAAGTTGTTTGCCTTCAGTTGCTCTTGAAATAGGATCCAGTGACCAGAGAAATTAGGAACCTGTGGTCAAATTGCATCATCTTTGGGGTTTTCAATGAACTCGCCTTTTAGTACACATTAAAGCAAAAAAAAAAAAAATATTCATTCACATTTCCATTTCCATTTTATTTTATTAAAAGGTACCCTTTCCCCAAAATGAACTAGGATATTTGGTTGCAAGATGTCCATTTACAAAGGGTATATCAACTGTTAAGTACTTGCTGTTCTGTACAAGGCTGGGTCTCTGCATCCAGGGTCTTGGTTAATGATCTTGGACTGGACTGTGGTGTAGCACTTTTCTCAAATGAACACATCTGTAACACAACCAGCAGAGTTTGCTGTCATCCCATAATACCAATATGTGTAAAGATATGTATACTATGTTAAATTCACTTCAGACAAATAGATCTGCTATGTGTTGTGTGTAAACCAATATGAATAAGGAAATGAACCTGCTTTGGTATGTGAAAGGGTTTAAAAATGAGGAATGAAGCTATGTTCAAAACTAGAATAAAACAAAATACTTTCTAACACGTTGTTCAATTTACACAGTATGAGCCCAAACTCCATGCACCTGTGTTTTTGAGCTAAGCCTTTGATTAACTTTGATTACTATCACCTGTATCCCCCGAGCTACTCTACTTGGAACAACCAATCAGCTCACTGGAACAATTAATGCAGTTTAGAATAAAATAACTGAAAACTAGTGCATGACAATGTTTTTGACACGTCATCACATGGTATTTCATTTTAAAACCACAAGATGGCCCTATATGCACAGTCCTGGTAAAGTAGCACAACAGACCCGATGGTCTCACGGCATTATGGACATACAAGAAATACAAATTATTTTTGAAAAGCCTTTGGATTCAAACATTGCAACTGAAAAATTTATTGCATTATAAAGGATTATAATACTTTACCAGTCAATTGCTTATGTTCTCTTTGTGGCTTATTGTATTTATATTGTGCATACATTTAAATAGCCTTTTGTAGGAGTAAGTGTTCACCCTGAGCCTGGTAGGTTTTAAACATTATCTGTTGTAGCCTGATAAATCAAATAATTATTTCAGCACAAGCCTTGTAAATAAAAGAAAGAAAAGATTTTCAGTCATTTCCCAGACAAAACATACATGTAGGCCAGACACACAGACACTCAATCTGGTCTTAGTTTACCTCAGGGATGGCCTCTGCAAAATGAAAATGTTATTTATTGTCTGCAACCGGTGCTGTGTCAGTGGGCTCGTTAATGATGAAAACAAATCACTTTCTGTACAATTGTGCAGCATGTACAGTGGGGAGAACAAGTATTTGATACACTGCCGATTTTGCAGGTTTTCCTACTTACAAAGCATGTAGAGGTCTGTAATTGTTATCATAGGTACACTTCAACTGTGAGAGACGGAATCTAAAACAAAAATCCAGAAAATCACATTGTATGATTTTTAAGTAATTCATTTGCATTTCATTGCATGACATAAGTATTTG